GGCCGCATGTTTAAAACAAGAAAATTCTGTTTTCGAACGCATAGACTGTGCCCTCCAGCTGATAAAGTACCTCATTGTGATCTAAAAATAGCAGCATTTGGGGTAAGTGTTGCTCAGTATCTATCAAGGACATATCGAGATCCCTAAAGCCTTGCCATGCTCATCTGTCTGGAGATGCTGCACAGACGAAGCATGCTACAAATAACAACTAACAGTACACAGAATTGTACACCATCCCAAACTCATCTGTCAGCAGTGTTTACACACTTTCTTTTTTCTTACTTTATTTAATATATGTAAAGCTCGGAGCATACATGCAGCATCCAAACTGTCGCTTTCTTCGTCGGCGAAACATTGGTTCAGGAAATGGAGGAGGAGGTAGCGCCATCGATATAAGATTCGCTGCATGAGATGCAATCCCGTGCAGCAGACTGGCCCCACCACACATACCGCCCAAACATGCTCGTTTCAATCGCCGCGTTTTCAGGAACGTCCGCTGATCCATGACGGATGGAATATCGGAAACATCCCTTCGTAAAGCTGGATCAAAAATGCTGCATGATTCGGGCAGAATCAAAAGCAGTAATGCAAGCATTGCGAATGGAAGTTTCAGTTGCACCATTCTGAAACAATCTTTTATATATTTTTTGCAGCCTTTTCTGGAATTTATTACTGACATTGGAAGCTACTCTGTTTTCACGCTAAGTTGTTGTTGACATATACAGACAAATGCATTTTCAAATAAATGTTTTCCAGTAAGATTTAATTCTAATGAATGTTTGACAAAACTTGCCCTGGACAGCTGTGCTAGAAAAACTAGTCACATTTGGATTGACTGCGTAGAGCAGGGCCTTCCTAATAAAAAATTAGAGTTATTTTTCGAAGCAGCGATATTATCAAGGCAATGCATGTTAGGGACCAATTGGGCTGGTTATGCAGCAAGAATGAAGCAATAGATCGGAAAAGGGGATTACTGAATGGTACCATTACTGTTGCACAGAAGGTTTGAGGATCGGCACCGCCAGTTGAAAACAATCACCCGACAATTCATAGATTCGTTTCGGTGATAAATTAGTATTATCTTTGTGCTGAAGAGTCAAATATGCCTCTAAGGAACTTTTAAGTTGGAGTAAACCACAGCCTTTCCAGCACTTGGTTGTATTCGAGCTGCCTCTGAGCCTTCCTCTTCTAATAGGGGATGAAAACGGGGAAGGCTCGAGTTTTAACCAACACAGCAATGGAGGTGCAACGACAAGCTTGAATGCTAGTATGAAATTATGTGGCTGAGAAAGGGTAAAGAAAAACGAAGCAATCGCTAGCTGCGTCAGTGGCAAGAAATGCGACGATGAAACAAGAGCTGATCAAAATATTAAAGCATAAATATAACTGAAGCAAGGCAACTCGCTAAAGACGAATTCCTGGATCGTAAGTATAGCTTTTCTGGTCTCATTTTGTACCGCAAATTTAAGCATACGCGAACAGAGAACTCTGAAATCTAGTTGTCAAGTTTCGAATTTTGTACATTTTTTCAAAAAGTGAGTTTACAATAGTTCAGCTTCTCTTGCCTCCGGATTGCATTGGTTGGAGTAACTTGATGGTACCCGACATCCACTATGGATATCGTAAAGCGACTGAGGTACTGCTAACCGTTAGGCCAGCAATGTTTTTGAATCACATGACGAACGATCTGGAAACGCCCAATACCTTACCAGTTATTTTTTTTGGGAGAACCCTTAAGCCGATAATTCCTTAAAGAAACAAAACAAATGCTAGAATTGCCAAAAAAATCGACCGCAGGCGATACAGCATTTGCCAAAGCAAATTGGGAAATCTCCGAGCTTCATAGCTGAGGAAAAACGTCATAAATCGCAAGTGTTCAAAGTCTCAAAAAAAAAAAAA